AAAAAAAAAACAAAAATCCTAATCAAAATCCCTAATTTGAGTACAAACCACCAGAAATTAAAATCTTCAAATTTGATACAAATAAAAAAAAATTAGCACAAATCACAACAAATTAAAATTTCTTATTTTAACACAAATTGTAACAAATAAAAATCCCAAATTTAAATATTAATCACTACAAATTAATATTTTTAATTGTAGCACAAATCAAATCCTTAATTTTAGCACAAACAACAACAAACCAAAAATTCCTAATTTTAATATAAATCACCACCAATTAAGATTCATAATTTTAGCATATCGAAATCTCTTATTTCAACATAAATAATAACAATGATGATAGTTCGTGCCTTTCACTCCGCTTCGAAATCCTTGGCTTCTTTTGGGCATTTTGTGGAGCAGGCAAAAACTTTGCTGCCCAGATTCCATTCCTGGGCTGTTCAGCACGTGAAGAGGGAAGGGAATTCAGTAGCCCACTGTCTCGCTCGGATGGCTTTTTCTATGGACAATTTTTCCATCTGGCTGGAGGAGGTTTCGCTTTCTTTGCGCTCCCTCGTTAGGAGGGAGGCGCCTCTTTGATTTGTTTCTTTGTTCCTATTCTTGGCAATCTAAAAAAAAAAAAACATAAATAATAACAAATAAAATATTTTTACAAATCAAAACTTGACATATAACTACAAATTAATACTCATAATTTTTATTTAAAAGTAAAAAATAATAAATTAAGTTACCTATAATCAATGAAGAGAAGACACCGAGGTTGTAGTGTGCTTCTAAATCTGTGTTGTGTGATTCCAATCTGATAAATCGCAAGTCGATAAATTGCAAACCAACAAAAAGAGACAAATAAGATAAAGAAAATATGAAACACTTAACAAGTACTGTAAATAAATAAAAAAATAAAAAATTTCATGTACTTTTAGGAGTTTAGAGGTCCTACCGTTGAAAGCCTTGCCCAACATTTTTTTTTTCTAGATTGCGTATTGTTTCCGTGGTTGGGGTTGTGTATTCACTCAAAAAATAGTTGTGTGTGTCAATATTTGGTTGGGCTTTGGTCTAAAAAAACAAAAAAAAAAAAAGAAAAAAAAAATCAACATGGGTGAGGTGGGCTGTGTGTATGAGTGTGTTTGGCTGGAATTAGGAGTGTCGGAAGTATGCGACTGTAGGACTACATGATCGTGTGTGTCAATTAAGGGAAATTTTATTTTTTTTTAGAAAAGTCATGGGGGGCACGTGACCCCCTCGTCCCTGTGTCCCTCCGCCCCGTCTCTATCTCTGTATGATTGGCCCTAGGCAGCCATACTTGTGGGGTATGGTGCCCTGGGTAAACCTTGATCCCTAGCCTCCAGGGTCCCTAGGCATCTAAGCAGCACCGTGTAACACATCGCAGCATAACTTGTCACGGTGATAACCAGAATAAAACCCACAGCAGTAATGGGAGGCTCCTATGAACTGTCCTTGGATTTGGACACATATAATATACAACATTGATTGGCATGCCCTTCAATGTGGTATGGTTCACAGTGAATACGTGGACCCTACTAGCTTCTCGTGTAGTAAAGATGAACATGTGAGATTCTCTCTCTCTTTCCCCCTTCCACCATACTTTTCTTCCTTTCTAATCAGGAGCTTTTATTTCCCCACATTAAATATTCTTTGTACACATTATTGTTCAAAGCACACCCTTAATGAATTTGAGATCTAATGTTTTACTCAATAAATAACTTATTATACCAAAAAAGCCCTAATCTCCTTTCCTTATTCAAACTCTAATCCTAACCCTATATCTTTTTATAGTTCTATTGGAAAGGAAAAAATTAAAAATTTTAATCATGAAGTTGGTCCATTTAAATTTGATGCAAATTGATAGGTAGTTGTTTGTATTAAGGGTGGGCGCGGGTCGGTGGCGGCCACGAAATCTCGAATCCGCCATCCGTCCACTAGATTGGCGGATTGGAGAAAATCAATCCGCATTTGTCTACCAATTTGGCGGATGTGAATTGAGCGGATTGGCGGTTTAGCGGATGGATGTGAATCGGTTTAGCGGTTTAAAATTTTATAAATTTTCAACATAATTCAACTTGTGCACTCCCTCAAAAAAAGAAGAAAGTATCACAGTCGATGACTTAAAAAAATATTACAATCAATGCATGCCTCATCCAAAGCAAGAAAGTTTGAAACTTTATAATATCACAATCACTGCATGCCTCATTCAAATACTACAATCACAGTATGCCTTATCTGCATAAAGTATTACAATTTGTGGTTTTTAAAATATGAAAACAATTCAAACCACCAAAATCATGAACAGAGTAGTAGTAGAGATTGTATGTCTCTGTATTATTACATCTATATCTGTTTTTGAAAACAAAAATCAATCAGCATATATCATATTTTCCATTTATTATTTTTAGAGATAGATTTAAAAATAAAAAAATATAGATACGTAATATGTTTATTTTTTTCAATTCAAAAAAGATATTCAAGTTGAATTTTTTTTTTCAATAGAATATTTAAACTCTTTTTTAATTGAAAATACAAATAGAATATTTAAACAAACTGAAAATACAAAGTCTTATAAATTACTAGGGGTGCTCGCGGTTTGGCGGTTCAGTTGCGTCCGAAAGAATCTCAAATCCGCCATCCATCCGCCAGATTTGCGGATTGGAGAAAATCAATCCGCAACCGTCAGTTCGTCATCACGCATTCGTCCAAAATGCGGCGGATCGATTCAGTTCGGTCGATTCTAGCGGATCGGTATATCCGCTACTCATCCCTAATTTGTATGTATATCTCCGTGTTCGGTGGGCACCTGGTAAGAAATTCATGAGTTACATTGATAAATTGGGTTTATTGAGAGAGTAGAAATTGACTTTGGTTACATTTGAAAGAAGTTAAAGATAATGGAACATTAGTTGACACGAATTTGCTTCAGAAAAGCCATTTTAAATACACCCAAATGTAATTCCCAATTGTTCACATGCATTCATGATTTTGAAATTCATTCGATAGTGGCTTTTTAGCTATCCCTGCCAACAAGCAAAGTTGGAATTTTTGACTTTTTAACAAGCATGAATTATTGATAGGAAACTTCTTCGTATCGGGTGAAAGATGATTCAACTCTGATGATAAATAATACATTTATGATCATTTTATAGAAACATTCTACTATTTACATCATACGATTTTGTATTTAATTAAAGAAATTGACTGCTAATTACTTTTTTTTATTGCTTTCTTTTTTTTCCTTGTAGCAATGCCATCAATAAAAATTGGTAACGAGATGGTGGTTGCGGAGTAAATGGGCAATGGGGGTGGTGGGGGCAATGGTGATGGCGGTGGAGAGGTTCACCAGAGGTGAAGAGCATGATTAGGGTTGTCAAAGAGGAGGCCAAGGACTTATGATTTCGGTTAGAAAGATGAGGATATTTTGGTAATTTTATTTTAGGATAAAAATGTAATATAAAAAAAAAATTATTAAGTATGTGGATTGAGGAAATTTGGTGTGTGGAAATAGAATTTCCGTTTCTAATCGGCAGCCACATTCAGGTCTGATCAATTTTTTTCCATTTTTACCCTTCCTTTTTATTCACTGCTGAGGATCTACTGGACACAAGAGTACAAGTCTAAGGCCATACCAACACACATCGACAATCATGCACATGTGGACCCTAGCCCATACATGCTGCCTCATCACATTTATAGTCTAGAATTGGAATAACATTTCCAATATGCTAGGTATGCATGCAGAAGCACCAAGAGCAATTATGCAGATTAACGAAAAACATATTAAAATTGATTATGTTTTTATTATTTTTTATGCACATACCAACGAGTATTAATTTTGATTTTTTTTCCGTACAAAATATTGTAAAATTTAATTAGATCAAACATTTTCACCTTAAAAAACCCTTAAACAGAGGGCTTAATGTTATTGATTTCAAATGGGATTTGGATTTTTCTTGATTTCAAATGGGATCTAATATGAGTTAATGTTCCTATTTGCATTGCATGAGAGTTGTTATAGAACAATGTTGTTTTCCAAATAGGGAAGTTTGGTGAAACATTTGAACAGCTCGATGAAATGCTTCAAGGAGGCCAACAAAAGGGATGGGTTTGGATAAAAAGGGATGGTTTAAGATCATGAGCTGTTAATAATCGAAACTTAAACTCATTTTTCTTGATTACAAGATATACTTTTGTTGGTGTTGGGAATATATATATATATATATGTGTGTGTGTGTGTGAAAGTGTATCATGAGAAAGCAAACATTAATAGATTTTGTAAAATTAAAAGACAATAATGTTATAAATATTAACTAGCGTACCAACAAATGTATCAATTGTATCTTAGTATGCTTGTTAGGATCCGTTAGCATTTTGGTGAGTAACAAAATGACATGGATAATAACTGATAAAATGACCCCACTAAATAGAATTTCTGGCTACGGCACTGCTTAAAATTCAAGCTTAATCACCTTATTAACAGTAAAGACAGGCTTTATTCAATCACTTATTAAGGCTAAAAAGTCACTAAAAAAGCCAAATACCATACCCTACCCTAGGGCCGAATTAATTTTGCACTAGGATTGAAAATATAAGATTCAAATTCATGTCCACGTACAATAATATAAATACATGTATGGTAAGAAATGACTCAATTTCCTTATTTTTGTTTGATCGGTGACTCAATTTTCTTATAATGCAAGGTATGACCTTTAAATAGAGCCAACTAGAGGAAACTAATCCATACAGCCAACCCTGAATAATTGGGTCAAAAATTGTTATGATTATATGGCATTATATGCACATGATTACTCACTAATTACATATTAGGATGTTTTGCAGAACTGTAAAATGTTTGATCGAAACATTTCCAGAAGTCCCAGGCAACTATAACCTCTGTACTGTGGTTCACTGCTAACAAACCTTGCAAGACATCAAGATTTAATTAACTAAAATGCAATGGAATTTATATCCCAGCATCAAAAGAACATCAATGTGAAAAAGGGAATGAAATTTTTTCTTTTTAATTTGCACCAAAGGGTAACAAACCAGAAAGGCAACCACTAAGCAAACATATTGGTTCCACAAATAAACTGCAGTACATAATGTTTAGCAAGCATTAAGCACATTTGACAACTTTTTTTTTTTATTGACGGAAGTTAATATACTGTTCGATTAGCACCCTAGGGGAGCTAAACTCCCAACCTCTCCCTTGCAAGCACCTAAAAGTTGCCTCCATGCCACTAGTCCACAAGGCCATGGGCCATTTGACACTGTTTATATATCATATCTTGGTCTCCGGGCTTGTTGGCCTTGACGGTGAGATGCACTAACTGTTCTGTGCGCGATGATATTGTTATTGGGATGTCTATCAACCCTTGTGTTCTGAAAATGATGTTGCACTCGTGAGGGTGAGGGTGAGTGGACTGCCCTGTGCATTTGAGGTTGAGTCCTACTGTAGCCAATAGGGTTATTGAGCGGTGTTCTAGGAAAAAATTGTGATACTTGAGGCCCCACTAGAGTTGTAATGAGAGAACTCCGATTCTGATTGCCTGAGATAAGCACACGATGGGTTGTCCGAAATGCTTCTGATATCCTTGTTAATTGTTCACTCCTAACAGTCCTGGCAGAATTAACTGGCTGCTCAAAAGGATCCTCAACCTAAACAGTCATTATCAATAATATTAGCTATGCTGTGAAAAAAGTTAGTTGTAGCTGCAGCAATGGCACAGAGAGAGAGAGAGAGAGAGAGATTACAAATAGTGCAAAATTTTTGCGTGCCCATTTCATATTGCTACCAATATATTCCCATCGTCCAGTGTGTGGGCAGATTACATGTTCTGAGGCTCTCCAACTAATGTCAGAAAACTGCAAAAGATGTAAATACTAGTATTTACTACACAAGATTAAATTAATTCCTTGTAACCATCCCATCCATAGAATGGAGAAAACCATTATTTTGGGTTAGAATATGGTTTATGAATCAAATATCAGAAAAAGAATCCACTGTATTTTATGTAGAATTTGAGCAGCCAACATCAACTTCATATGCATTCAGTTGAAAATACCAAAAAGAAAAAAGGAAAATGTAAGAAACATATATGAGGTGCTTGTAGCATACATATATGTATTCAGTATATAAATAGCTGAAAAGTTAGCCAAATACATATCCTCAAAGTATTCATTTAACATGGCAGAAAGCTTTTCCCAATCTGTTCTGAATAACTTGTAAACGAAAAGAATTGTGATAGAAATACTTACTTTTGCAAGGAATGAAATGAAAAGCTCAGACAAAGGAATTTGATTTCTTCTTCTGGACCTATTCGATCTAAACTTGTTTATATTCTCAGTACACGTGTCTTTAATACGTCTCTCTGCAACTGCCCTCACACCTGCATCAAGCATAATCAAGTACCGAGCCTCTATTCAACAATAAATGTGCAATTCCCTTGACACCAGAGACTACTTAGTAGTATGGTGTTCTTGTTGCAATCTCACATTTATTTTATTTAATCTTCTTGAATATGTTCAGAATAATGTATCATTTGAGCAGACCAAAAATAAAGACGACATTTGATTGTGCCAAGCCTGGAAGCTAGTTACTGCAGATATAAATAACAAGCTTTACTGCAAGGGAATTTTTCATTCAACTTCAACAAATTTTTCAGAGGCATTCCAGATGGTTTTATGACTTCTGAAGCAACAGTAAATACTTAAACCATGCATCCAGATAATCACTACTCAAATCATTAGCACTGACCAATCAATGTAAGTCAGCCCAGTCAATTTCAAGCTGATTTTCAGCTTAAACTTCATTATTTTTATTTTATTTTTTCCCTTTCAGTTAATGTAGTTCTATTGTCTCAACAAGATGATTCAACATATGATATCAAATAATCTTCCATGTTGCTGAATGTATACGTGTAATCATACATAATTGGGATTGAACCCCAGGTTCATCCTAGTTGGGGTCAGGCTCGTGGGTCAGGCTTGGGATGGGCATCCCAATGTGTAGCCCATTACCATTGAACAAAAAATATAAAAATATATAAAATACTATATCACTAATGCTTTATATAGCAGAGGCGAGACATGCGCATACCTGTGTTTCTCACCTCATGTTATCTCTACTAGGATATTTTTATATCTTACTCAACAAGGAGCCCCCTAAGTTTTCCAAAAATTTTATATCACCTTCATATTTCCATGAGTATTCTTAAAATTTATATAAAATGGCTCCCTAAAATTTTTGAAAGATTCTACTATATTGGTCCTCTGTTTCACAAGTACTCCAACAAGGTATATAAAATGAGCCCCCAACTATTTCCCATATTATGTAATAGCATCAAATCTTTGATTTGATTTTTGTAAACCAAACCAAACCAAACCAAACCAAACAAAACAAAGCTTTAAGTCCAATCAAATGGGTTCGGTTACATGAATCCTTCTCCACTCGACTCCATCAACGGCCATTTGGTTAGTCAAATTAAAGAGATTCATATCTCTATTTACTACACTAACCCACATCAATCTAAGTCTTCCCCTTCCCCTAACACTTCCGTCTACCATCACTGTATCATATCTCTTCACTACTGTCTGTGTTGGTCTCCATTATATATGACCAAACCATTCTAATCTATTCTCTTTCAAATTATCTTCTATCGGTACTACTCCTGCCATTTACGAATATACTCATTCCTAATTCTATTTTTTCTAGTTTTGCCTTTTGATTTGATTTTTATATAAGATGTAAATGCAATTTTTTATTTTTATTATTATTATAAAAATCATACTAGTAATTTTTTATTTTATTATTTAAGTAAATTATATCAACAAATAAAATGCCTTAAAATAATGGTCTAATCTATTATACACTAAGATCTTAACTATGTAGGTCAAAAACAATATGAAAAGTGGAAAATTCTATGGTGTACTACAGTTGTACCCCAAGTGATATTGGTTTTGAATCAAAGTGATGTTGGTTATTACTTTTAGTGGTGCAGTTTGGTTACAAGCTTTGGTGGTTTTAATTATGACCCAAGTGATCTTGGTTATGACAGAAAGTGGTGTTTATTATGAACCAAAGAGGCCATGGCCAGCTCTTTATCAATATAGCTCACATTCAGTTATTTAGATTTAATGGTTAGAAGTCTAGGTGCATATGATAAGCACCTAAAAGGGGGACTACACTATAGTACCCATGAAAAGTACTAAGAAATTGCCAATATAAATTTATTGATTTTCTTTCTAATCAGCAAAAGCTAACTTAATATTCTGGCTTCGTCAAAGTTTCAAAAGGCTTTATTGAGACTCGCATTGAGCTTGCCTCAAGGCAAGGCTAATACAAAATGCATCGAGACTTTGATTTTTAGGCAACAATCCCAAAAGGCTTGTGCATCACAGTTTGAAGCGTCGGCCTCAAGTGCGCCTCATACACCTTTTGTGCATAAACATAAAAAACAAAAATAAAAAATAAAAAATAAAAAAAGATTCTCTTCTGTAATTATACTCTATAGGAAAAAATTAAGTAAATCACCAACCAAGAGAAAATAGAAAGCTAAGGCTCAAGTAACAAACATGATAACTGAAGCTAAGAATGTCTTTTTCAACTTCAATGAGGGCAAGCTTTCTTCTCTGCAGTGAAATGTTCAATACCTTGAGTAGAAATTATGTACACCGTCATATTTAATTTTTGAATTTTTTTTTCTATTTTAAAATATTTTATTAATTTACTAAATACAAATATTCAAAATTCCAAATGCTTAAGCCTTGATGCCATGACGCATAAGCCTCATGAGGGGTGAAACGCCTCGCATTACATATTTGCCTTTGAAAACTTTGGGCTCCGTCCCTGCTACTCAATCTCTTATGTGAATTGTTTCCTACCAAGTATGAATTAAACTACCCAATAATATGTATTTTCGCCCGTCTTTATGATTTTGAGAAGCATATTCCTGGAAAGATAGAGAAGTACCTATAAGGTCATCAACAATATTTCTTGGATAGATTTCTTTAAGAGGAGGTAACAGTGCAGGTACACAAGTCTGCAAAAAAGGAAAAAGGGTGAAGCCCTGGCAGCTCAAAGTAAGTAAAACTTTGTAAGAATTTATGTAATTTATGTATTATTGATTGATGAGTTGATTGATATGTTACAATTAATCTAAGCGTAGCCAGAAGGAAGATTATATAGTCACAAAATGACACAAATATAGGGCACTTAAGATCAATGCGACAGATAATACTTTAGGATCACCTACAACCGGACTACACAAGTTTGATGGATGGTTTACCATGTTCTCTTGTACATAAGTTTACAGGTTGTATGATCACTTTCACTGATAGAGTCCGCTTTGAAAATCTCAGAATCATTCCAGTAGATGAAGTATTAAAGAAGACCCCTAACTATTCTCCCAATTAAAAAATATAAGAAGAAGTCATCATTATCATCAACAACAATAGGCAAAATCACCTGAAAATGGAAGATAATAAGCAAGCTGAGAGTGTATGAATTAAAAGTTCCAGACTTTGAATCATTGATACCATGTGCTTTGGCCCATTCCTTGACCTGCGCGGCAAGAATTGATACATTAAATTAGTGACAGTTTCCCCACAGCAGCATCCTAAGAAACATGGACACGGACATGACACATACACGCAAATTTTAAAAAATGTAGGACACGATACGTTGAGGACACATGCAAAGCATATAATTTTATATAATTATGTCATATTTTTTAATATTTTATATATATTCTATGTCAGATATTTATTCTCATCATATTCATCAACCTTGGTATGCTATTCTACTGAAAAAAATATAAATTTTTTTAAAAAATGAGTCCCCAACGTATCCCAGCATGCCCTCAGCACGTCCCAACGTGTCCCCAGCATTGCTGAACGTGTCCTCAGCGTGTCCCAAGTGTCCCCAGCATATCCGATACGTGTCTGGAGTGTGTCCGAGCATGTCCATGTTTGACCCGTGTCGGACACCGGTACGTGACCTCCGAGAGGTGTGCGTGCTTCATAGGCATCATCTATTGCTTTGCTATAAGAACATACCAATAAAACCATATCGCGGAAACACCCATCAATCTCATTTATCCACAACAATAACTTGGATTTTATTTGGCCACTCAGATTATTGATTGAGACATCACAAGAGATGTTCAGGTAGTTTCTCTCAAACTTTAGAATGGGAACTCTTGCACTGGCGATAAATTGCAAATCACGCCATTGACCTGCAAATCAACATTACTTTTTAGTAAAAGGAGTACTTAGATAAAAAATAATAAACCAAAAAAGAAAACCTGTAACATGAGCTGATGTTATTATATTAATATATTATGATCCTACTTGTTGATGCTATCTTCTTCTTCTTCTTTTTTTAACTTCCAAATGTGGTATTGTTAAATGAAATATGGAGCCCCAAATTTCTGAAGTAGAAATGATTAGTCAGGGGGTCGGTTTACAGTTTAAACCATCTATAAAGATGTCATTCCATTTTATTTCCCATTGCACTTGAGGCAATAACTAAATTGTAAATGGATGGAGCAAGCAAGAGCACAAACTCAGAAGGATCTGTTAAAATAGTTCTCGACTTCAAGAAACTTACTCATTTCTAAACCAAGGCGAAATATTTAGTATACAATGTCATGCACAATGGCTAACTGAGAAATGAGAAATGTAAGAGAGATTGGTTTATGAGATGAGGTTATGCAGGTTGTGTTTCAGCCAGTCCCATGTTGTGATTGTAAGAACACCCTTCTTTTGTGATGCAGTTTTGGTGAAGTTCAAAATAAGTTGGTAAAGCTGCCCCAACCTTCAGTTTGGCCAGGTCATCCCTTTCCTAGCCCGACGAAGCTTACTAAGTTATTAGGAACTATTTCATTTATACAAGGTTTATTGTTGCTAATGTATTCATTTCTGCTAAATTATAGATAAATTTTTTAGTTTCCTTTCAACCTCATTAGGGGGATTAGGTCACCATTTTGCCTTAAGGTCATCAAACGGGGCATACACCTGAAGTTGACTGTTTAGGCTTGAATCTGTGAACTAGCATCAAAGATCATTATGGCACAGAGGATGACCTGCCCAGCCCATGTCCAGCCCCAGTATGGACCAACATGGGCACATTTTATGGCCTAGTCTTGAGCATCATCTCACACACTTTGTTAGCATTGAAATAACTTATAATATTTAGCCAAAATTAAGCAGATATAAATATGTATCATTATACGCTTCATTTCAGCAATGCTGGTATACATCACAGGGTCAAGAGCTCGAATGGAGGACTAATATATATGATTGTTGTTTAGGGAACACCCGTAGTTGGCAGTATTCTTCTAATTTATGGATTCTTATTACTTAAAATTTAGCTAATTAAACAAGACAATAGCCATATTGCTTAAAAAAAAAATCAACCTTTAATTATTATTTATGTATTTATTATCCTTTTTCAACCTTTAATTTATATTTACTTATCTATTATCCCTTAATCCTCTTTAGTGGTTTGTGTTGTGCCCTTCGTGGTGCTTACTTTTTCCATGAATTGTTTTATGTTTTCTTTGCTTTGTTTATGAGCTATGAAGCATGGGTATTTCAACAAACATATTATACCTGTACCTGGCACTGGTACTTTGTATGGCTACTTCTGCATATGTACCGGGTACACAATATACATACCCAATTTTTTTTCTTTTTAATTTTTGCCGCACCCCAGACATACCTAGTATATATATATCCAAACCATTTCATACCTTAGTCGAAATAATATTTTCTTCTAATACATAAGTAAAATTAGTTTCATTGGACTTTATTTATTTATTATTTTTTATGCTTATTAAATGTGAATTGTAGGTTAAATCTTAACAAACTAAACCATTTAACTAATTTTTGTATTAATCCAAATTAAAAGTCAATACTTTTTTACAAACGTACCTACCCATATCCGTACCCCGTTTTTTTAAAATTTTACCAAATCAACGTAACCAGTACCCATATCCGTGCACGTGCTTCATAGTTTATAAGGAATGCTCTTTTACTCTATTTATTTATTTATTTTGCTGGGATCAAGGACAGTTAGTAATGTTTTATCTTCAAAACTTTGATTCAAGTTCTTACAAAGGAACAAACAAATGAAGAAAGAATGAAGACTAACCAAACAAAGATCAAGGGGCTGTTTGGGAAGTGAGATTTTAGCCCAATTTAGGCTAAAATTTACAAAAAGACAAAATAGGCTAAAATAGCTAATAAGACAAAATGTCACATTAAACCCATAATTATTTCACTTTTTCTCTCACAAACATCACATCCAACTACAAAAAAAATCTAATCATCTTTCCAAACACACAAATTTTAGCCTACTAAAATAGCCAAAACTAAAATAGCAACTTTCCAAACACCCACTAAATTTTCACTGCATATAGAGGTCTTGTTACATGAAATGAGTAATAAACTAAAAGTATAAGTTTTACAAATTACCTCTACTCCTCAAAGGTCTTAGTAAATCCCCTAGTAAAGTCTGTGTGCGCCTTTTTCCAGTAGATGAAATATATAAACCATTGGGTAAATCTATCGATATATCTAGATCTCCCCATCGTGTGAAGAGATCAGAGGCAAATGATCCAAATGGCTCCACAGTTGCACCTATTTGCACCATTTAAGTCATTAATCAACATTGTTAACCATAAATCATAAAACCTATGGAAACATTTTCTTTCATGTAAATGAGAAACACAAAATCATAACAATTTTATAGGTACCATGGGAAAGCAGTGCTACTTAACTACAATTTTCTTTTCAAATAAGATTGAAAAAAAATATTAATAGAAGGCAGAGTACAATTAGAAGAATAAACATAGTACTATATTAGGCTGTAATATGAATTTAGTCCCTAGAAGCAAAGAAGCACGGACACTTCTATGAAGGAAGTACGTAGTGCCCGACACCCGTGTCAGATATAGACACTCTTTGGACACTCCAAAAAGCATGTCTGACTCATTTCTTAATTATTAAATCAAATTCATAATATCGGATACTTTACCGATACTTCGTGAACACTTCAGCAACACTTCTTAAACCCCCCTCAGAACGCATCCTATATGATGAATCTCTTCATAATAACAATGTTATGCATTCTTTAGGACATAACTAATGCACACTAAATATATTTTGAAACATTTATAAGATAACTACATCATGTGTATTACAACAATGGCTTATAATTGTTTTACATTCTTTATAATGTAATTGTTATGTGAATGATATCTTAATGTTTAATTTATAAAATATATAGCTTTTAATGTAATTAGTGTTATTTTCATAGTTGTCAAATCAGGATTCGAATCGAATCATGAATCGTAAAGATTCGTCGCTTTTTCTAAATTAATTAAAAAAATATATATCTACACACTTAGATGTTAAATATATCTTCCAAACATAAAATATGTAGACTTAAATTAATGAAAATATTGTTTTGAATGATGATCATTTGATCTAATATGTAAGATAAGAAGTAAAGATAGGTTTCCATGTAAGATCACCACATTACCTTTTTTCCCTTTTTAAAATATATTTCTTATCAACCATTCTTAATAAAAAAAGTAAACAGAGACAAACTCTCAATTTCTAAGTAACAATAACTTAATAGCGATGTTGATATTTGGACGACAAGCATATATACTTTTTCAAGTAACAATGACTCAATAATAAGAAGAATTAATTGGAATTATTTATTTTAAAACCTAAAATATTTTAAAAGGTATATACGCATGCTTTTTGTTAAAGCGTGTTTTTAAAAATAAATAAATAAAGAACTTGTGTGACCATCAGGTTCATTAGGCTTAAGTCACCCATGTAAATCGAACTATAATTATTTCAATAAAGTAGCAATAAATAATTCATACGCAAGTTATTTTAACCTCAAACATCTTTGAAAGATACATCATGCTTTTTTTTTAAGGAGAAAATGAGAAAAAAAATGGTTAAAATAGGAAATAGGGCAAATTACACCTGTAATCCTTATATTTTGCCTTGTGTCATTTTGGTCCACACACTTTCAATTTAATTAAATTTTGACCATTAATTTAATATTATGTATCAATTTGGTCTAATTGACAACGCCTTTAGGATTTTTTATGAAAAATGATCACTAAGTTGGTTGAGGTTAACTCATTGAATTGATGAAATTTACAATTCTACCCCTAAAAGCATGACACATGCCACTCATGTGCGTATTTTTTTTATAAAATAATGTTAGCAGTTATAACCAATTGGACCAAATTAAAACAAAGAAAAGAATTCAGGGTCAAAATAGATCCAATTGAAATTACATGAATCAAAATGACATAAAAATCAAAGTATAGGGGCTACCGGTGCAATTTACAAATATATTAGGTCAGACTGAATCTGATTGATCTTGTTAAAAACTCTTGATCACCAAAATAACAACAAATAATGTGTATATATTAGTTATTTTCGTTCAAAAGACTATTAAAAATTGTATTATGTCATTTTCACTAAAAAGAGTAGGAAGTGGGGAGGAGGGGGGGGGGAGTTACATGCATGTGGGAGATAGGGGAAAAAAAAATTACAAACACATGAGGGATGCAAGTGTGTCTGTGGTAGGGTGCAAATGAAAGGCTGTGGAGGTGCAAGTGTCATATGTTGGTATGTTTTTTTCCCCTTCTCTCACCTGCATGTAATTCCCCTTCCCCTCCTCTCCCCCCACCTCCCCAAAAAAATAGAAATATGTCAGCCACAATAGTTTCAAGAAATTGCATGAATCATAAAAAGTGAATTGAATCGTGAATCGATTGTTAATTATGAGATTCACCATAGATTCACTTCCAAAATAGATTTCCTCATATATTCATATTGATTTTGCATAAATTGTGAATCGAATCGCTAATCATAAGATTTTGATAACAAAGGATTCACCCATATTGCGAATCTTAATATTTTGATAACAAAGCTTGGAAGTCATACCAAACTCAAATAAGAGTGTCTTCTTGACAAATCACTCTTTCAAAAGGTAAGATGCATCTTTTGGTCTCATAGTGTAAATAAATAAAAAAATGTATAGTCCATAAGGTTTCTCTTTTTGGGCCTTCCAGGTACTAAAACAAAAAGAGATCCAAAAAAAACAAAAAAAGGTATTAAAACAAAAAGGTCATTCTCGTATAATTCTGCCAGTGTCTATCATGACTTTTAATCTCATTTTAGCATGCACTCCACGGAGCTTGGATCTTCTCCAACAAGATCAAAAGGGATTATTTTGTGGTGAAAGTATGAACTACTAAAAAACTATAAGAGGTAGATTTTAACTATCATTGTATCTTCATATAGTTAACTTCATTCAAAAGTTTTTTTGGGTGAATACTTCATTCTAAAGTTGCCTAGTGGTTTTTCCCCTTTCTCTGAAAGGATTTCCATGCAAGTGGTGGTTTGCATTGTTAGCATTCTTTTGTCTGGCTCATTGATACTATAACTCAACTCAACCTAACAAGCTTGTCCTAGTTACCTGGGGTTCAACTACATAGATCCATTTCCTCCAATTGGTTTATTCGTGGTCATATGGCACAATGGGGTTCTGGTAATGAATTAAAGTGGTGCTGGTCAGGATTTGATGTGATGATCAATTCAAAGTAGGGCCCACGTTAGTTATGAGGCTAGGTGGGGTTCGTTACATGACAAAATGGCATTGGTGCTTGGTTACAAGGCAAAGCGGTGATTTTGGTTGTGACCCAAGGTAGTTGTAACACCCGAGCCATTCATTGCATTCATGCACTCATTCATCTTTTAGGGTTCTCTTATTTTGCATTGTATTGTATATGTGATATGCTTGTCTTGGTCAAGCTTAGAAGTATGAATGTGAATAGGAGACCTTGAGGAAGAGAACCTATGATGGAAAACTTAGGAAATGCTTGTACTTGGAAGAAACCTGGGGAAACTAGAACAACTTGAATGTGGAACTTTAACATAGGAGATTTGGTAAACAATGTGGAGTTAGGGAATGATTTTGAATTTGAATATTGAATGCCTAGATGTCTCAAGAAACCTTAATTGAGGAGCTTAATGATCTTAGTCTAACGAGTAGAGTGTTTTGAGCACTTTATAAAAAATTAAGTGGGATTAGTGAAAACTAAGTAAGATTAGTTAAGCCTAATTAAGATTAATTAGACTAATGATGATTAAGAACAAATCATGATTAATTAGAACTAAGCTTGGTTAATTAAGATAATGGAGTAATTAGCGAAGCACTTGGGTTAATTAATATCTTTATATAAAACAAAAGAGAAGTTAGGAGAAAATATGAGAGAATTCTTGAAGTCTTGAGAGTCTTGTGTTCTTGAGCTAGAAGAGAAGGAGAAAAAGATTAAAGAAGGGGAAAAGGGAGAGAAATCAAGAAAGCTTCAATCTTAAGCTTAGAAAATCAAAAAAATTCACCAAAAGGTAAGAAAACTCATCCTCTTTCTTGTGTTGTTGTTTTGATCTAGCGAGAAAATCATTCAAGATAGGATTTGAGAGATTGAAAATAGAGTTTTGGAAGAGGGTTTGAGAAAAGAAAATAGAATTGAGAATTTGTTGTGAAAATCATGTTTTGATTCAGTTTGAGTTTAGAATTCTTGCATACAAATGTTTTTCTACGCATTCTACATCATTAGTACATGTTTTAGAACTCCTAACATCTTAATTTTAAGCTTTGGGTTGAAGGAATGGATCAAGAAATACCAAGAACACACAGCGCGTATGGCCTGCGTGCAACCGCACGTGCGGAAGCCCTTACGCAACCTCAAATGCCTACTGCATGAAACCGCACAAGCGGCATGAGCGGCTGAAATCCTACTGCACATGCGGACTAGCCCTCTGCTCGAGCGCCCAAACCCCACTGCACAAGTGGAAAACAAGGAAAAATCCTTGACCACTTCTGCATGTGCGGCCACGTGCCTCCGCACATGTGGCCAACAAGGCATTTGCCCGATTTGATCCCTTTTCGCTTGTTTCAACTCACCGAACCTTATTGCACTTGTTTGAGACCTAAAATGGAATTGAATTAGGCTTAGAAACCAACTCTAAGTAAGAGTAGTTAAGGAAAGAAGATTCAAATTAAGTTGACATGTTCGTTTCGCATTTTGTTTCATCGATATTTGTATGTCTGCTTGTGTAGGTCGAAATCAAGAGTATACCCTGAACAAGAACCATTGTGAGTAATATTATTGTAGAGTTATGTTCTAAAAGATTGTTTGGAAACTCAAAAGAAAATATCATGTCTTGTGAAATCTCTATTTTGCTTCAGAATGAATGAATGTCCTGTATTCTTTGTATGAATCTATTAAATGGCATCCTTAGTCCTGGCCATTGGAGGACGCCTTCATGCACCATTGGCCATTGTTGAGATCTTGTGTCCCACTTGAGGGTTGGTTGTTTAATCGGTACTCGGGCCAATTATTATTCCTATGTTATGCTCTAATGGATGTACTTGGCTATTGTGTTTCATATATGAATTATTCTAGCGAGAAATGTTCGAGTGCTTTTGAAATGTGATATAGTATTATACTTTGCAAATGAGATTGGAATTCATTCATTCACCACTTTACTATAATATTATTCACTGGGCCATGGCTCACACCTTCTCCCTATATATA